AACTTCATATCATTCGAAGACAGTTGATACATTTTCAAAGCATTGTCTTTTCGAATCATCAAACCAAATAAACAGTCAACATTGGTTCTGAAATAATAGGCAAAGTATATTTCTAAAAATATTAACGTAATACAATACATATACATGTTTTTCATAATTAGTCAATATTCATCCGATAAGTTCATATTTTCTTTTACATTGTCGATGCTTTTCAGACTGTCTTATGATGAATTACAATGTAAGAAAAAAAAATCTGAAATTAATTATAGGAAATTTGCACCAGTTGCATATTCCAGCTATGATGTGAACGTGAATGCAAGTTACAAGATGACGGAGACTCATATTCTCAAGCGTGAATGAAGTAACCAAGGTATATATATATATATAAATGCGACGGAGCGTATAGAGTACAAGTGACGCACAAAGGAAGGAAGTAATATTCTACTTGGAACTTTCAAATATTTTTAAGGGCCTCCCCCCTCAGAAATGTCAATTTCGGTCAAATTTATCGATTTTGTGATTTATAACTCGTTAGATAGAGCAAAGTGTCTACTCTCGAATGTACTATAGTTGATTGATTTTATGATGAGATTTAAGGATATTACATACGATTTTCTGAACCTTCATATTGAAAAAATAAGGTTTTTAAAAACTTATTTTCCGTTTTTTCTCAAAATCCATTTTTTCGAGTATAATGTTTACGCGGGCAAACCTTACTCAATATAAAAGTGGTAATGCTTTTTTGTTATAGAGCAGACACTTGGAGCTAGGTCGTAATAGAGCCAGATTTTTGAATTTCTCCTTTGTTTAAATAAAAAACTTAGATCTTTTATTTTAATTAGCGATTTTTTGTTCACGAATTTGAGAATTTTTCAAAAAGATTTTTTTAAAAAACCAAACAAAGGGAAATTAAAAAATCGGGCTCTATTACGACCTAGCCCTAGGGGTACTCTACAATGTAAAACCCACGCCGACATACTAAGCTAGTATCCTCATGTTAAAGACCTTGCCCGCGTAAAGGATATTTTTGATCAATTAATTGACTATAACTCGTGAGTGGCTCGCAGATTTCTGGAGATATTTGCACCATAATCTATTCTAGCCAAGACTAACATTCTCTGAAATTTTGGTTGAAATCGGATGAAAAATAGCAAAGTTGGTTTCTGAGGAGGGGGGGCTTAATGCGTCAATAGAAAAACATGAGTTACTCTAGGATAAAACCAATCAAATTTCGAGAAACATTTAGTAGGACTTTGTCATTCTTTAATAGAAATAAAATACTTGCTTCCTATCTAAAAGATGTATTGATCGGTAAAATAAACACTAAAGTTAAAGAAATAAATATCTAAAGACAAAAATCATAAATATATATATATAAGTCATAAAATAAAATTTTGTGTCTTGTAGATGAAAACATCATCTATTATGTGTTGGTAATTTTCAAAATATATATGACATCTTTTCATCTTGGAATTTATCTCTTAAGATTATATACTTTCCAAGGGACTTTTTCCTATGCAATATTATAGTTCTTTTCTTTTCTTCTCATATGCGTATTTATTCATATGTGTGTGTGTAGTCATTCTTCTCTGTTATCTCTCAATAGTTGTTTCTTCTCGTTATTATCTGAAATAAACCAGAACTCACGTTCACATTCACAACACGTATATATATATGAGTGAAGAGCACAGCCATTGTACCGTTTAAGCAAAAAAATCGATAAAAACAAACTTAATAATGAGAGAAAACTAAGTGTTGCGTTTGACAGAGTGATGCCGATTGTACATGAAAATAATATTTTCCAAACATTTCCTTGTGTTGTTGTGGAGATTCACAAAATAATGATTTTTTGGAAGAAAATATTCAGAAAACGTTTATTAATCATACACACTAGTATGAAACAAATCTCGGCACAGAACTAGCTCATGTATGTTATTTTCATATATCAAGCAATTTTTAGTGAACCATTGCTTCGAAAAATGTCGCCCTACGTTTTTCTAGTAAAATTGAATTTTCTCTAGAACGGAGCCATATTTTCAATTGAGTTTTTGGAGTATTACTCTACTCTATGAGCCTGAACAAAGATCAAATTTTTATCGCAAACGGTTAAGTATTCATTGAGCTATAACAAAAACAAAATTAAAAATGTCGCTCTACATTTCGTCTAAAATTCATTTTTTTTATCTTATATAAAATTTTTGCACTAACGAACTTTATGGAATAAACCTCTTTTATTTCTCAAATTATTTTTTTTATCTTAGTTCTCTCTGATATCCAACCAAATTACAACAAAAAAAAATTTCTCCAAACGAAACGCCAATGATTTTAATGTCGCCCTACGTAAAAATGGAAAAGTGTCTCAACGCCTATTATCGACAGTTTTTCATTCATAAGACTTTCTCTATTCTGAAAGCTCTTGATGAATGCTACAACTCTAGCTGCAAAATTAATTTTAAAACAAAGCAATGGAATAAAAAAAATTGGTTTTCTTCTGACAGGTGGCATTAGGAGCTAGGTATTTAACACTGTTGCTATGATTTCTCGGAAACTAAAACACGTGGGAACTTGATTTTTTTAGAAGTGAATGACCATCCTTAGACCAGTAACATTAAAAAAGAAATTATTAAAATCGACTGAGCGCATCTCGACTTATAAGCATTTTTCTTTTCGGAACAACGGTACAATGACTGTGCTCTTCACTCATATAAGTATCACGAAACTTACATTATGAATGATGATTGAAAAGATATTCGTATATCCACATTCAACATAATGAAATATGGTACATATTAAATAACATTAAGAGATGGATGAGAGAACTTCTTTTATTTCATTAAAACATCTCAGTATGTTATTCAAATAAATGGCTATAGTAAAATAAATGTACCATATTTTGTCAAAAATTGACTATAATACTATTAAATAATATTATAATAAGAAAGAAGCTAGAGTAAGCTCAGCTTTTATCTTTAGAATTGTTGAAGTCACTGTTGGAAACTTTGATATATAACGAGTACAAATATGAGTAAATACCTTCTTCCTAAATGATTTTTTTTAGTCACGTCATTTTTTTTCGATTATTAATAAAGTCTAACGTGTAGTTCCTATAGTGTTATTATTATTATCTACTATCTTAATGCGTAAGTAACTTTTGGTGTGTCATCACCAAAAGATGAAGGAAAAAGAGAAAAAGCCAAGTAAACTGATGACTAACTGTGCATGACAAGTTTAACAATGGAAAGTTTTGTATTATTAATAAAAAATCATTAATCATATTTGTATCATATTAAATATCTTACTAGAAAACTAACAAATTTTGTCGAAATTTTAAGACTATTTGTTTTGCTTATTTCATCATAGTTTGATAGAGTTCGTCGAGTTGTATAAGGAAAAGTTTATTTCAAAATTAAAAACAAATTTTAAAACATTTCATAAAAGTCAGAACTTTTTGGTCAGTTTTCGTTATATTTGAACATAATGATAACTTGGACCTTTGTCATTAATGTATTTAAGATTTGAACTACACTTATGCAATTTGACAAACTCTATTTGTAGATAATTTACATATATTGTAAATTCATAAAAAAATCCATTTTCGCGCTCAATGCACACAAAGGTAACTCATATTTTAATTTGTCAGTTTCACACTAAGAGTTTTAATTTGATCTGAATATATCCAATATTCTTTTTTAACAATAAAAAAAGTTTCATCGTAAGATAAATATTTTTATCTTTTCTTTCCTTAAAGAAATCCACTCTTAGGACTCTTCAATTTTTTTTTTCAATTTCGAAATTATAATCTCTAAAGATGTATTGGAGTGCTCTCGATCAAGTGCAGTGAAATTGAATCTATG